CGCCCATACAGCCACCTTGTCGGGGCCTGACTAGAAGTGGGCCATCTGCTGCTTCAAATCGAATCAGACTCTGCCGAAAGCGCTGCTTACAGATCTGATAATCCTCTGGCTTCGCATGAAGCTCAACAACTTGGTCCAATGTGTTGTGGTGTGTACTGCCGAATGCATTACTTAGATCTTTCAAACATACTGCGTGCGTGAAACCTCCCTCCCGAAGTCGACGACGCATAAGCTGCGAACATAAAACTGCCTCCTCCCGACGACGCTCTTTAACGAACCCGTAGTCCATGACCGATGGCTCCCCCCGTAATCGACGACCGAAGTACCCTTTACTAATTGTTGGAAGGATGTGAACTACTCGGCGTCCTCGGGGCCCCTTGAGGCCAGACTTGCGCAATCCACAGGCAGAGCTGGTGTGCCAATACAATGGGGTCGGCTGGTGCATCCTGATCTTTGCCAGGCCAACGTTCACCATGAACTGAAATGTTAAAGTACTCGGGGGCTCATCAGAGGCTCCAACTCCTACAACTTGCGGGGCATCCTTTCTCGGCTTGGGCAAGAAGCACATGTGCCACAATTCTAAAGGAGCGGTCCCAGGAGGAACCACTTTGCGCTTCTGTGCCCGAATCGTGTGCCAGAGAATCGCTGAATAATCTGCCTTTGCCAATTCAAAGAGATCAGCATCAGGAAGCCATTGAAAGTGCCCGTCTTGATCCTCACGAAGAGCCTCCCAATCGACTTGCTGCACGGCCATACCACCTTCATGGCCTGGCAATGTCCAAACCTCGAGCCACTGGTGAGCAGGAAGAGGACCTGGCCGAATGAGTGCTCCGTCTCGTTTTCTTGGGCCAATCCTCGTTCGAGCTGCCAGGCGTGTAATCCTCATGGCCTCCGCTGCGCGCCTCTGCTTCCACATCTCATTAGCTTCGTCCAAGAGCTGCCGTTGACGTCGACGTTGAAACTGCCTGCGGGCTATCTTCAGCTGCTTGGTCAAGCTGGCCAAATTTGCGTCGATCTGCTTCACCTTGTCCTCGCTGCCCTCGAACTTCCCTGCTCTGATCTCGGTTCGCTGTTGTAACAAACGTCGGCGATCAGCACAGTGTTGCGAATAGTCTTCACATAGAGGCGGCCGCATAGCCGTGGTAAAAAACTTCTCGCCCGCCGAAATCAAATGCCCTTCCAGCGTCTCGAAGATGTCGTCTGGTGATGCACTCTCTTTGATATATCGCGGGTCCACCGTCTGCAGTGAATCACGCACGTGTTCAAGAAACTCTCGCTTGTGGGTGCCCTTCTTGAGGGCCATCATAAGAGCGTCTCGGTCCCATCGCAAAGTAGGTTCCGTTTTGACTTCAGGAGAACACTTAGCATAATTCATGACGCACACCAGTGGTAAGTGATCTCTGGGAGCCGCACCACGTTGTAGTTGCAACTTTGCACCCAACTTCGGGATAGTGCCACAAGTGATAGTCATAACGTCCATGTCCGCTGGATAACTGAGATAATCTATTCGTGAGCTATATGTGTCGCCAAAGAAAGTCGGCGAGCTTCTCCCACCCACCGTGTTGCCTGCTAGAAGCCGATGTTCCTCAAGAACTGCTCGAAACAGTGCACCTGCTCCGTCATCTGTGCGCTCCAACGTCGGAAGACCAATTGCACCAGAACGCAAATCCACACTGCCCGAGCCTCGCTTCTGTAAACCCATCCCATCATTCAAATCACAGAAAATAAAAGGTGTTGAACGTGTCGGTGTTTGAGCTAATATATCTTGGAGCCAGTCTCGCAAGATCCGTACCGTTCTGAAATAAGCTCGTTTTTTCTGGAGTCGCATATCCCGAGGCGGAAAGTAAAGAGAAACCAGAGTTAGGTCTTGTCGTCCACGCTTGACTCGAACTGCAATCGCTCTCCCACGAGCTTCCTGCGGAGAACACCAACTGGCCACTATGTGGTCCTCCTTCAGGCCCCCGCCGAGCACGATAGCACATCCACAACTTGAGTTCGCGTGCGGGCTGGGACCAAAAGGCGCCTCTAGAAGCAATCGTCCTGCTACACGTCGTCGAAGTATCTGACTGCCTGTATGGTTCTGGCGGTAGTCGACGGACTGCGTTCCTGCAAGAAGCACCGCGTCGAAGTTCCGCAACTCCGTGACAATCTCCTCCTGCCTCGCGCCTGTGCAGCTCTGCGGGTTCCAGCCCAAGATTCGCAATCTATGCATCCGCGCTGAACCGCATCCTGCGTGTCTGGTCAGAGAAACGCTCTGGCAGGAGGCAAATCTATGTGGGCAGCTGACCCACTTGTAATCATATACTCGAGCCGACAGGGCTCCCAAGAGGGGCCCAAGAGGGCCCCAATGCAGCTCCAAGAGCGCCCCAAGCGGGGCCCAAGAGGGGCCCAAGAAATCATTTTGGGTGCCCTGACGGGGGGGCGGAGAAAAGTATTTTCCCTTCTTTCATCGATGACCTCGAAGATGGCTCCAAACTGGCCCAAGAGAGGCCCAAGAGGAGCCCAAGAAGGCTCCAAGACGGCCACAAGGGCGCTCCAGGAAGGCCCAAGAGCGCTCCAAGAGCGCCCCAAGAGGGCCCGACGGGCTTCATTTGAAGGCCACGGAAGAGAGCGGGTTGGGGAGGCTTCGCACGCGGAATCCAAAGCTGAAGCTAGAACGGCAAAGTTGCGATGCAGAAACCATTGCAATGCAAAACAATATGCAATGCAACACACATGTGATTCCGATCATGGTCGTTGGCGCCGTGTGCTTCATACCCTCCCTGGACCTTCCTAAACCGCTCTCGCCCCGCACGCGGAATCCAACGCTGAACGGCAAAGCTGCAAGGCAAACAACAAAACACTGCAATGCAAAACAACTACAATGCAAAACGAACATGGTAATTCTGATCATGGTCGTTGGCGCCGCGTGCTTCAGACCCTCTCTGGACTTCCCCAAACCGCTCTCGCCTCGCACGCGGAATCCCAAGCTGGAGCGAGAACGGCAAAGTTGCAATGCAAACACACCTGCAATGCAACAAACATGCAACGCAAAAAAGCTGTAATTCTGATCTAGGTCGGGCCGTGGGCTTCAGACCCTCCCTGGACCTCCCCAAACCGCTCTCGCCTCGCACGCGGAATCCAAAGCTGAAGCTAGAACGGCAAAACCGCAATGCAAGCACAATTTGCAATGATTAGACTTGCAATGCAACCACCACTGTACTTCTGATCATGGTCGTTGGCGCCGTGGGCTTCCGACCCTCCCTGGATCTCCCCAAACCGCTCTCGTCTCGCACGCGGAATCCAAAGCTGAAGTTAGAACGGCAACGCTGCAGTGCATTAAAAGCTGCAATGCAAACACAACCTGCAATACAACATACACTGTACTTCTGATCATGGTCGTTGGCGCCGTGGGCTCCAGACCCTCCCTGGACCTCCCCAACCCGCTCTCGCCTCGCACGCGGAGTCCAAAGCTGAAGCTAGAACGGCAAAGCTGCAATGCAGAAACCATTGCAATGCAAAACAACCTGCAATGCAACAGCACTGTAATTCTGATCATGGTCGTTGGCGCCGTGGGCTTCAGACCCCCCCTGGACCTCCTCAAACCGCTCTCACCTCGCACGCGGAATCCAAAGCTGAATCTAGAGTGGCAAAGCTGCAATGCACAAAACAAAACTGCAATGCAACAAAAGAACTGCAACGCACAACAAACTGTAACTCTGATCATGGTCGTTGGCGCCGTGGGCTTCAGACCCTCCCTGGACCTCCCCAAACCGCTCTCGCCTCGCACGCGGAATCCAAAGCTGAAGCTAGAACGGCAAAGTTGCAATGCAAAAAACACTGCAATGACCAAACCTTGCAATGCAACAGCACTGCAATTCCGATCATGGTCGTTGGCGCCTTGGGCTTCGACCCTCCCTGGACCTCCACAAACCGCTCTCGCCTCGCACGCGGAATCCAAAGCAGAATCTAGAGCGGCAAAGCTGCAATGCACAACAATTGCAATGCAACAAAAGAACTGCAACGCACAACAAACTGTAACTCTGATTATAGTCGTTGGCGCCTTGGGCTTCGACCCTCCCTGGACCTCCCCAAACCGCTCTCGCCTCGCACGCGGAATCCAAAGCTGAAGCTAGAACGGCAAAGCTGCAATGCAAAACAAAAGTGCAATGCAACAACACTGTAATTTCGATCATGATCGGTGGCGCCGTGGGCTTCCGACCCTCCCTGGACCTCCCCAAACCGCTCTCGCCTCGCACGCGACTCGCCTCACCTCGCACGCGGAATTCAAAGTTGAAGCTTGAGCTCAAGCTTCAGCTTCTTGTTTTGATGCTCTGCGTCCCGCTTTGCGCCTTACCCATGTCTTCTTTGAACTACGAGTCTGTGAATAGAGAGTTCTCAACTTCATGGGAAGGTACGGGAGGGAGGGGTATGATGTCAGATATTGCGCCAGCGCGCTATTGACCCCTTCTCTCCCTGCTCGCTCGTCTTCCCTCTCCTCGTCGTCCTCCCTTGCCATCCCCCCGTCCTCCTTTCTTTTCCTCCGTCCTCTCTCGTCTGGGACCATCGTTCTCTTGTGAGAGCGGTCCTCCCCTGGCCGACACTCACCTGTTCACAGTTCTCTTGTAAGGGTGGTCTCCCCCTGGCTGACACTAAACTGCCTTAGGTTTCGGTGGAGCCGAGCCGACCCTCTCTCGTCGTCGTTGGTCGTCCTCTTCCTTGTCCTCCGAGTCTGTGCCCCGGCGCACTCGATAGTGTTTTTTCTACCCTCTGTGCCATAACGCGCATTATGCCCCATAGCCCCCCCCCCTCCCCCCACCCCAGAACGAAACGCTCCCCCCTCAGTGCGTCCCCGACACTGCCGCAGTGCGTCGGGCACCACAGTCGGGAGGGGGGGGAGCGCTACGTTATGTCCCCTCCCGTCCCCCCCCCTCCCCCCATAACGCCCGTTATGGCCGCGGAAAAAAAGGGCTTCTCGTCCTCCGAGTCTGTGCCCTGGCGCACCTCTCACGGCCGGAAAGGACGACCGGGACGACGGGGAGTCCTTTTGGGCGACCACGCGAAGGGAGAGCCCCCCCCCTGGCGCCGCGCCTTGCTGTAGAAGAAGGAGGAATTTGAAGAGGAGGAGGAGGAGCATGAGGAGGAGGCGGAGGAAGCGAGAAGGATGATGATGGTGGTGATGATGATGATGATGATGATGATGCTGATGCTGATGATGCTGATGATGCTGATGATCATGATGTTGCTGTTGCTGTTGATATGCTGCTCATGCTGCTGCTGATGATGATGATGCTGACGGTGCTGCTGATGCCGATGCTGATGATGATGATGCTGCTGCTGCTCATGATGATGATGGTGATGCTGCTGATGATGATGATGATGATGATGATAATGCTGATGAGAAGGATAAGGAGGCGCTGGAGGAGGAGTAGGATGAGGATGAGGATGAGGAAACGATAAGGATGAGGCTGATGCTGATGATCATGATGATGAGTAGGAGGAAACTGATTCTGATGATGCTGATATTGCTGATGACCATGGTGATGATGGTTCTGATGCTGATACTCCTGCTGATGATCATGCTGAGGAGGATGACGATGGCAATGATGAGGATGATAAGGATGCTGATGATGACGATGGTAATGATGATCACTATGATGACAATTTTGAAGATACTGATGATGCTGATGATGATGATGCTGCTGCTGCTGATGATGATGATGATGATGATGACTGTGTTGATGGTGAAGATGATGATGATGATGCTGATGCTGATTATGATGATGATGACGATGATGATGATGCTGATGATGCTGAACAGGAGGAGGATGAAGAGGAGGAGGATGAGGAGAAGGAGGATGAGGAGGAAGAGGAGGGAGTGATTTAAAGTAGGAGGAGGATGAGGAGGAGAAGGAAGAGGATGAAGAGCAGGAGGAGGATGAGGAAGATGAGAAGGATGAGGAGGCGGAGGAGGCGGAGGAGGAGCAGGAGGAGGAGGGAGGAGGAGGAGTAGGAGGAGGAGGATGAGGAGGAAATGAGAAGGATGATGATAATGATGCTAATAGTGATGATGATGCTGATGATGGTGATTCTGATGATGATCATGATGATTATGGTGACGATGACGATGACGTCGACGATGATGCTGATGATGCTGCAGATGCTGCTGCTGATGATTATGATGCTGATGATGATGACGATGCCGTCGGCGATGATGCTGATGATGCTGATGATGATGCTGCTGCTGCTCATGCTTATGATCCTGATGGTGATGCTGATGGCGATGATGCTGATGACGATGCTGCTGATGCTGATGCTGATGCTGACGATGATGATGCTGATCATGATGATGACGATGAGACCGATGGTACGGCTGATGATGCTGCTGATGATGATGACGATGACTATGATGACGATGAGGCGGCTGATGCTGACGATGCTGATGATTCGGTTGATGCTCATGTTGCTGATGCTGATACTGATGCTGCTGATGATGGTGACGACGATGACGAGTATAACAACGACGATAATGCTGCTGATGATGATGCTGCCGATGGTGATGATGCTGCTGATGATGATGGTACTGCTGATGGTGATGATGCTGACGACGATATTGATGCCGATGATGCTGCTAATGATGATGCTGCTGATGATGCTGTTGATGATGATGGTGATTGTGGTGGAGGTGGATGAGGAGGCGGAGGAGGAGGAGGCGGAGGAGGAGAAGGGGAGGGATGATGATGAGGATGCTGATGCTGATGCTGTTGCTGATGATGATGATGATGATGATGATGATGATGACAATGACGATGCTGATGATGGTGATGATGATGATGCTGCTGCTGCTCATCATGATGATGGTGATGCTGATGCTGATGATGATGATGATGATGATGATGATGATGATGCTGATGCGGATGATGATGATGATGATGATGATGATGATGATGATGATGATGATGATGATGATGCTGATAATGCTGATGCGAAGGATGAGGAGGCGCTGGAGGAGGAGGAGGAGGATGAGGATGAGGAAACGATAAGGATGAGGCTGATGCTGATCATGATGATGAGTAGGAGGAAACTGATTATGATGATGCTGATATTGCTGATGACCGTGGTGATGATGATGATGCTGATGCTGATACTCCTGCTGATGATCATGCTGAGGAGGATGACGACGATGACAATGATGAGGATGATGATGATGCTGATGATGACGATGGTAATGATGATCACTATGATGACAATTTTGAAGATAATGATGATGATGCTGATGCTGACGATGATGCTGATGATGATGATGCTGATGATGATGCTGCTGATGATGATGATGATGATGAGGCGGAGGATGAGGAGGAGGTGGAGGAGGAGGAGGGATAGGAGGAGGATGAGGCCGAGGCAGATGTGGAGTAAGAGGAGGAGGAGGTTGAGGAGCAGGAGGAGGAGAATCCGGATGATGATGATGATGATGATGATGCTGATGCTGATGCTGATGCTGATGCTGATGATGATGATGATGATGATGATGATGATGCGGATGCTGATGATGATGATGTTGACGATGATGGTGGTGATGCTGATAATACTTGTGATGATGCTCATGACGATGAGGATGATGATGCCGACGATGACGATGCTGATGATGATGATGACGATGACGATGACGATTATGATGATGATGATGATGAAATGCTGGTGATGATGCTGACGATGCTGCTGCTGATGATGCTGATTCTTATGATGATGCTGATGATGCTGACTATGAGGATGATGATGCTGATGATGATGGTGCTGATGAGAAGGATGAGGAGGCGCTGGAGGAGGAGGATGAGGATGCGGATAAGGAGGAGGAAGAGGAGGATGAGGAGGGGGAGGAGGAGGAACCGATACGGATGATGCTGCTGCTGATGATGATGGTGATGATGATGGTGATGATGATGATGATGATGATTATGATGATGATGATGATGTTGATTACGGTGATGATGACGCTGATGATAATGCTGATGATGATGCTGATGATGCTGTTGATGCTGATGCTACTGAGGATGATGATGCTGATGATAACGATGATGCTGATGAATATGATGGTGACGATGCTGACGATGCTCATGCTGATGCTCCTGCTGATGCTGCTGAGGATGATGACGATGCTGATGATGATGCTGACGATGGTGCTGCTGAGGGAGAGGATGATGATGCTGATGATGAGGATGATGATGAGGATGCCGTTGCTGATGATGATGATGCTGATGTTGATGATGCTGTTGACGATGATGCCGATGATGAATATGATGGTGATGATGGTGCTGCTGCTGATGATGATCATGCGGATGCTGATGACGCTGCTGATGCTGATGCTGATGCTGCTGATGATGATGATGATGGTGGTGATGATGATGCTGCTGCTGAAACTGATGCTGACTCTGATGGTAATGATAATGATGATGATGATGATGATGATGATGATGATGATGATGATGAGGATGAGGATGATGATCACGATGATGCTGATCATGATGATGCTGATGATACTGACGATGCGTATGATGATGATCATGATGATGATGATGATGCTGATAATGATAATGTTGCTGATGATGCTGATGATGATGGTGATGATGAGGATGATGCTGATACGGGTGATGCTGATGTATACCTTGGTTACGATGGTGATGCTGCTGACGATGCTGACGATGTCGATGATGATGCTGTTGGTGATATGCTGATGATGATGATGATGATGATGAAGCTGATGCTGATGCTGATGATGATGATGATGATGATGATGATGATGCTGATGCTGATGATGATGATGATGATGATTATGACGATGCTGCTGCTGATGATGATGATGATGATGAGGATGATGATGATGATGATGATGATGATGATGGTGGTGGTGGTGGTGGTGGTGATGATGATGATGATGATTATGATGATAATGCTGCTGATGATGATGCTGATGATGATGATGATGATGATGATGATGATGATGATGATGAGATGATGATGATGATGATGATGATGCTGCTGCTGCTGCTGCTGATGATGATGATGATGATGATGATGATGATGATGATGAGAAGGAGGAGGAGGAGGAGGAGGAGGAGGAGGAGGAGGAGGAGGAGGAGGGAAGGAGGGGGGGGAGCAGGAGGTTGATTTTTTTACACTCGACCTCTGCTTGACCCCCATCGAGTGGGGACCACCTCTCCACACAGCACAGCCAGGAGGCTGAGACTGCAGCGGCAGCGCCACTGTCGGGGCCATGCCCCCGTGGCGTGCCCTAAGCGCGAACAGGGAACGCAAGGAGACCGTGCTCCGCGCTCCCTGATCGGGGTAGGGGGCGCCGGAGCCGTGCTCCGACGCCCAACCTACCCACCACCTACTCCATAGGTGGCCGCGGTTTCGGACCCCGGGACACCCAGGACCGAACCAAAAAAGGGAACACGACACGACGCGACACGACGGGGGGACGCAACGGACGACACGACACGCACGACACGACACGGACGAACGACACGACAGAGACAAGCCGCCGGTCCCGCCCCAGGGCGGCGAGCGCTGGGGGGGGATCCAGCACCGCCCTGGGGGAGGCCACGGGACCTGGCGACCCCCCCGGGGGAAGGAAACCACACTTTGGCGGTTTCCCCCGGGGTGCGGGGGCTTTTCGCCCCTCGGGCCCGGCGCTCCCCGCCTGCGCCAGGAGGACCCTAGGGTCCCGACCCCTCCCCTACGGGAGGGGCCCCCTCGGGGCGGAGCAGGAGGTTGAGGTGGAGGGAGATGAGGAGGAGGAAAAGGCGGAGAGGAGGAGAAGGAGGAGGACGAGGAGGAGGAGGAGGATGAGGAGGGGGGGCTGAGGGAGTAGGATGGTCAAGAAGGAGAGAATTCAAAGAGGAGGAGGAGGAACCGATGATCATGGTGATGACGATGATGAGGATGTTCATGCTGATTATGATGATGATGATGATGATGATGATGATGATGATGATGATGATGATGATGATGATTCTGATTCTGATTCTGATTCTGATTCTGATGATGCTGATGATGATGAGGATGTTGGTCGTGGTGGTGGTGATGCTGGTGATGATGATGCTGCTGATGATGATGGTTATGATGCTGATTGTGATGATGATGGTGATGATGATGCTGATTGTGATGATGATGCTGATGATGCTGATGATGATGACGATGATAAGTATAATGATGATGCTGATGATGCTGATGATGATGGTGGTGGTGATGATGATGATGATGATGGTGATGATGATGATGATGATGATGATGACTGCATGATGATGAGGATGATGCTGACTGTATGATGATGATGTTGAGGAGGTGAAGAAGAAGAAGAAGGAGACGCAGGCACAGTCTCCTGTCTGCAGTCCCCCCCCCGCCCCCCACACATTCCGACAAAGGGGTTCTAAGGGTTGGTTTTCTCAATGTGCTTTTCCACCCAGAACGTCTTCGACCGTCCTGGCAGGCGCTCTCGCCTCTGCGGCTGCTGTACACCGTGCCCTTGTACTAGAAGAACTCTTGAGCGCTCTTCTCCCCCCCCCGACGACCCTCGGGGGCGGGTCCGCGGTGGCCGCGCCGCGCCCAAGCAATGGCGGCGACAGCCCAGCCGCAAAGCCAGATGCAGCCCTGAAGTTGCACCGCGTTGCCCCCGGTTGCTGCCTTCTGTCCCATGCCAGTGTGTCGGCTCGCGGTCATCGCGTCCCAGGCCGAACGCCGCGGGGTTGCCTGCGCGCCGTGCGTCTCGTCCAGAAATGTATGCACCATCCACCGTCTAGGGACCCGATGTCCCATGCCCCGAGGGAGCAGTGGATAATCTATAAGTTCTGGCCTCGTATCTTCGTCCTTTCTTTTCTTCTCCGCATTCTGCCTCTTTTCTCCTCTTCCATCCTTGTCCTCCCACCGCTCCCTACACCAACTCCAACCCTTCCCGCGGCCTCGGTTTGCCAACTTCGAGTGTGCGCCATATCTTCACGAGTCTTTGCACCAAAATGTTGAAGTTCGATTCGACACCCGACTCGGTGAATAGTGGATGTAAGATGTGGCGCGAGATCACCTGGCCTGTCCTCCCCCTCACCCTTCCCCCCCCCCTATCCCTCCTCCGCTCCCTCTCCCCTCCCTCTCATGGGATGCTCGCGTCTTTTCTTGATGGTCAAAACGTATCGTGGCAAGGGACCCGGCCATACCAGTTGTGAGTGCCGTCGTGGTGGGGCCGCGAAGCGCGTCAAAGGTGCGCGGAAATTGGGTGGCCGCCATGCGGGCTGCGCCTCTGGAACCTTAGTTGGAGCCTCCGTTCGGGCCGCGGAACTTTTGAAGGGTGTGCCGAAATGAGTGGCTGGGCCGCATGCGGGCTGCGCGACAGCGGCCTTCGGTAGAGCTCCCTTTGGGGCCACGAGACGTGTGAGGGATATGCCGAAACTGGTGGCGGGGCCGCATGCGGGCTGCGTCACTGGGATCTTCGGTGGAGCTCCTTGTGGGCTACGAAACGTGTGAGAAGTGCGCCGAACTGGACATGCGGAGGGCAGAGGCAGGGATGGGAGGAGGGAGGAGGGCGAGGAGGAGGACTACGCGGGGCGCTGTCTCTTCAAAACGAGGACCCAATTCAACAAAGGATGGCGGGAACAAAAAGAACTGAACTGTCCCCGTGGTGATCGAGCTTAGAGAACCAGAGATCGTGTAGATGCGAGTCGATTGCAGCACTCGCTCACATATCACTGAAACTACATGGGTTCACACTGGCTTGATGGAACATCTAACGCCTAGTCACGCTCAGTGGTCAAATGTGTCTCGTTGCACGCTTCTGTTTTTGGAGATGCCTGATATTCAATGTCTTACGCTCGCTTGCTGGAGCTGATCGCGGTAAGTGGTGACATAGGTCATAAGGACAGGGTCAGGTCAGAATGGTGGAAAACATGCGCCAGTCCACTGGTCCACTGGTCCACCGGTCCACTGGTCCACTGGTCGTCCACCGGTCGGGTGACCAGTTGACCAGTGGACAGGTGGACTGGTGGACTGGTGGACCGCGGTTTACCAGTCCACCGGTCCACTGGTCCTACCAGTCCACCGCTGTCCACCGGTCCACCGGTTAACCGGTCGACTGGTTTACCGGACTACCGGTCTCCCTGTCCACCAGTCCACCGATCATCCGATCGTCCTGTCCACCGGTCCACCAGTTCACCGGTCCGCTGGTCCACCGGTCCACCGGTCTCCCTGTCCTTTGGTCACCAGTCCACCAGTCCACCGGTTCACCGGTCCACCGGTCTTTTGGTCCACCGGTCCGCAGGTCCACCAGTCCACCAGTCCACCGGTCCACCGGCCCACCAGTCCGCCGGTCTACCGGTGCACCGGTCCACCCACCAGTCCGTTGGTCCACCCGTGGTCCACGGGTCCATTGGTCCACCTGCCCATTGGTCCACCAGTCCACCAGTCCATCGGACCACCTGTCCACCAGTCCACCAGTCCACCGGTCCACCCGTCGTTGCACCGGTCCACGGGTCGTCCACCGGCTGTCCACTCTGCATGGTCCACCGGTCCACCGGTGCACCAGTCCATATTTGGCCCACTGGTCCACAAGTCCACTGGGTCACCCGTCGACTGGTCCACCGGTCCACCGGTCCACCGGTCAACTGGTCCACCAGTCCACCAGTTCACCGGTCCACCCGTCCTCTGGTCCACCGGTCACCCGGTCAGAACGCGCAATTATTCCACCATCGCCCGGTCCGTTCGGGGGAGGGGGGAGCGCAGGAGAGACGGAACAAGCTGCGGCGCGCCTTTTTGTGAGGCTTCATCTGCAAGCGACTACACACAAGCCGTATTACTGATAAGGTGAGTTTTGAAACAATATGAACCAAGTTGAGCATATCGGGGACAAGCTGGTGGTCTGTTCATTTGCTACAGCTTCTGCTCTGACCTGCAATGTTTCTTGCGCACATCGCGGTGCGCTGCGATGTCGCGTCGCGGTTTGTTTTGTTTCGCATCTGCTGTGCGATCGTAGTGCGTCCATTCTCTTCCGTCTCGGCTTGTGCTCAAGTTGCCGTACGCCGTATATCCGTTGCGCCGCCCTGCCCCGTGCATCGCCGTCTTGCCTTGCCCGCACCGCACTGCCAGCGAACGCCCTGCACTCTGCAGCGCAGCGTGGCCCGCTGCCCTGCTCCCGTCGTGCGGCGGCCGACGCCGCGCTCTCAGGGTGTCCCCAGACGTCTGGCCATCGGAGGCCCGAGGAGGTTCAGGCCGCCCAGAACTGGAGCCCCAAGACATCGGGGCCGGGGGCAGCCGGGGGCAGCGGCAGGTTCGCGCCTCGGGCGTCCAACTCAAAGCCTCGATCCTCGGACCTTTCGTCAATCCTCGATCGTCGCTGCCCTGGACCAGCGCACCGCGGTGCGGTGCCCCTGCCCCGCCAGCGTGCGGCGGCTGCCCCGGGCTCCGCGGGGCGGCCCGCTCGTGGACGCGGAGGCCCCCGGAGATCTGCGGGTGTCTCCAGGGGCGTCCGAAGACACCTGGAGGCCCGAAGGAGGCCCCCCAAGATTCCCAAACCTCCTTCCCCGATCCCCGATCGTCGCTTCTGCTCGACAACCCTCGATCCTCCTCGATCGTCGGTTTTTTCGGTGCTCTGGACTGCAGCGCGCCGCGGTGTCTTGCCCCTGTCCCCCGCCAGCGTGCGGCGGCCTGTGCCAGGCTCCGCGGCGCGGACCGCGCGACACTGCTGAGGCCTCTGGAGGCTCGGTGAGGATCTCAGGCGCCCCAGAACCTCGATCGGCGATCCTCGCGCCCGCGCCCCCTCGAGGACGCGGAGGACGCAGAGGGCTTTGCGGAGCGGGCGGTCAAGGCGCGCGCGGACGTCATCGGCATCGCTGGCGGCGCGGAGGAGCACGGCCTGGGGGGGCAGTGCGTCCCGCGAAGGTGGAAGGGCGGGCCCGTCGCTTGCAGCATGCAGCTGGTTTCGGTTCCGCCGCAGGGCGCTTTCCTCGATACATGACCGCCCAGCGCTCAGAGGCGCCAGGAAGACCAGCTGCAGGCAGCTGGTTTGCTGGCCCTCCTTTTGCTACCACCCCTTCGTCCGACCAGAGGAGGAGGAGGAGGAGGAGGAGGAGGAGGAGGAGGAGGAGGAAAAGGAGGAGGAGGAGGAGGAGGAGGAGGACGGCCGTCTCGGAAGAAGCCTCCTTGAAATGCGGGCCAGAACGCATCCCTGCCTGGAACGTTTTTGGAGGTTGACATCTGACCTCCTAGACCTATGGGGGCTGGTGGATCAAAGCGTCGAAAGTTGCGAAGGCGGCGATGGTCGAGTAAAGTAAGATGATGGTGATGACGACGATGTGGGTGGTGGTCGTGATGGTATTGGTGGTGGTGGTGGTGATATAATGGTGACAGTATTCGCGTGAGGTTTTCAGCACTGCACTCCCCCACAGCTTTGGCCTGGCAATTAGGTGCGGGGGTCGGCGGCCGAATTATTTGCCCAGTATTGTTCGCCATGCTGGCTATAGTTGGGCGGTATTTTCCCTGGCAGAAATTATTCCTTGGGCTTGCAAAAAAGAGGAATCCAGTGCTTGCTCGTACGAGTCTTGTAGCACGAGACCGTACGCTTCCTCCTTTTCTTTTCTCCTTCCCCTCCCTCCCCCTCCTTTCTTCCTTCTTCTCCTCTCTCTCCCCCTCCTCCACTCCTCCTTCTCCTCTTCCTTTTCTCTTCCTCTTCCTCCTCTCTCCCGTCGTCGCCTCCGTCTCTTGACGCTGTTTTTGTCGCCGTCGTCGCGGCTGTCGTTGTGTCACCAGGGCGTTCGAGGATGAAATAGTGGTTTCTTGGTCGTAGTAGTCGTTGTAGCCATAATCGCAATCTTCGTAGGACTCGTCGCAGTATAAGTAACCGTAGCCGTTGTTGTAGCAGTAGTCGTGTTATTAGCAGGAGTAGTAATAATCGTGGTAGTGGTAGTGGTGATAATCGCAGTAGTAACCGTACACGGAGTAAACGTAGTAGCAGTAGTAGTAGTAGTAGTAGTAGTAGTAGTA